TTTATCTCAAAATCTTATTATTTAATTAGGAGTAATTTACAAAAATCGAAATAGTTAATTGCTTAACTAAATTTATAAACTAATATTGAAGAAGATATAATTGAAAATTAACGTTTGTTTACATGGTCAACGATTTGTAAATTATAAAAAAGAAAAAAAAAAAACTTAGCTAGTTAGTAAATGTAATGTATTAACCATACTCTCTACTACAACAATTGAATTGTTGTGAAAAATTTGGATGACATTAAAGTATTGAGATGTCATCTGTTGATAGATGTCAGACAATCATTCAGACTAACAGTGAATTGTCAATTTTCAGAAAAAAATATTGTCTGAGATTATCGATTTCTCTCCTTCCTCAGCTGAATACTGTTCTTGTAGCTGTCAAACATTTAGCAATTTCCAACTCAACAATTCGAAATATTACTAGCAATTAACCTTATTAGTTAGTGGCAATGTGCTTCCGCTCGCAGCTTCCCGAGGACAGTGTACCGGGAACCTAGAAATTTGAAATACTGCCATAAACTTCCTGGATGTGATGGATAGATTTAGCTGATCAAAATGACATGACTAAATGGTACTTCACTCACAACCTCCCGGACCAATAATGTCATCGAAAAAGATTGCATTCCAATATTATTTCAGCACCTTTAGAAATATCTGCATAGCTCTTCTTTAGACATTTTACTATTTATATTAAGCGGACATCAAAGATGATACATCATGGATGTAAGTTTAAACAGCAGTCGGGATGATTATGAGCAGCCGGTTGAACATAAGTAAAGGGTTTTAATGTGAATTTTTTTCAGTTATAAGGCGAACATCGGATGAATAGTCTTTTTTAGTTTCAATTGAAAGAGAATAAACTTTTTCGGAAACAAAAATGCACTTTAGAATCACTTCCTCTCCTTCAAACTGAACGAGCAATAAGCTTACTGAAGGATGAAATGTTTGAATACCGAAAACAAGAAATGAGCGATGCGCTGTTGATTTGTGGAAGTGGAAGAAGAGACATTCGATTTGGGCGGCATGAAATGAATGGTGGTATTGCATTAGAATCGAAAATACTGCCTGTCCTCCTGTTCCACCCATTGTACAATAATGACGCAGCATACTGAACGAAAATCTCAACTACGGATAATAACGTCATCGTCTAGAACACGTTCTGTGTATCGTCCAAACATAATTGCTAAGTGAAAGGGACCAATACTTAATTAGTGTTTAATCAATAATGGTTTTATCTTGCATAATTGAAGTTTTTCAGTTATTCTGCATAATTGAAGCAAAAGCAGTGTGACAAAGTATAAGCTTTATAATTCAGTCTTTTCTTCAAACAAACACATTGGTCTGTGAACTCAGGACGTTCCACCCACTCCAGGACGTAACTTTTCTTCTAAAACATCACTCAGTAAACTCTGCGAAAGTAGTCTAATACGAATTTTTTGACATAGTTTGTTATCATTTGATGTTCAATTACTCTTATTACTTTCTTTCTTGGCAGCTCATGAGCATTTTTCTTCCAGATCTTTCATAGAGAGTCGTTACTAAGCATTGAAAGCAACATTACTCCGAAGTTTTTCAAAGCTATTAGCATATAGAAAAGTAATTTTTTAAAGTTATAATATAGAGAACTTCAAAATTAGGATGTAGCATACTTACTGAATAAAATATATGTTGGATGTTATTTAATAAATCTGATAACACTATCACTTAAAGAATAGCTTCAATGTTTCCTTTTTTTACGATGGTACTTTCTACAAAATGGCAAGTGATGTTTTTCACTGCTATAAAAATTGATGATGAAATCTATTTGGTTTTGTTTGTATTTACTTCTGCTATTATTAATGCTGTTTAACCTTTTGTTCTTACTTGTGGCACATAGACCATTTGTATACCTGGGTATAATTTAAAATTCTGTCATCATCTAAATCGATATTGGAATAAGTTCTTTAATCTACCTAGTTTAACTGCAATTTTCGCATAAGGAAAATGCACAAAATATGTTTTTATCAGTAATTAGAACAAATCATGGATAGAAGCTCAATAAGATTTATATGTTAGCCATGGCATGTAATTAATAAGAAGTTACCATAAGAACTCCCCGTGGCCGACTGCCAAACGATTTATAGATATTATAAGGAAAGAAACCTATGTTGGTGTTCAGACTTGAATTAATATCTACTGGAATGCCAAATATGCTGTACATTCATCAACAAGTACTCTACAATTTATTTTTTCCCTGCACTTTGGTCTGGCACATCATCATTAGCAATAATAGCCCTGACCAAACGATGCTTTTTCAGCCTCTGTGAAATGTCCTTTGAATTGATATGCAAATAATAACTGTACTAATGGAAAGACAACAGGCTTTTTTTTTTTTAATTTGCACTTAACGAACATTGAAAAAAATTGTGCAGACGTGAACCGGTTATGATTTATGCAAACGACAATTTATGACAACCCGTGCTAGTAGAAGAAAGAATTTGTGAGCTGTGTGGATAGATCAAAAATATCTGGATAAGTGCAATGTTTTCTGATAACGGTGATACATATTAGACACAACTGAGCATCGATAATATTGTTGAGTGATGTGTACAGTGTCACCTTTTAACCAGTCAATTTGATTCACCAACTAATTAGAATGCCAACAGGAAAATGTTTGTATAAAACACTCAAAACATAATTAGTAGTAAAAATAACAGAATGTGAAAAGTGCAAAGTATAAAGAAGCGAAAAAGAGCGATTGAAACAGTTTGAAAACTGGGGACGGTTGGGTCAGGCAAATGGATAGATTCCTTGAAAATAACAAGTGCATTATGCGCATGAACATTATCAGTTTCATAACAATTATTTAAATATTCTCGAATTCATTCTCTTTTTCAGGAAACATGCCTTCAATTTTTATTATTTACAGCTAGCAAAAAAGATAATTTCCGGTCAGAGGATTCTCTCGACCATGACTTGCTTTGAATCAGGTATGTTTGGTTGTGCAGTATCTCGACCACACAGTTTTTTTTTTATACAAAATCGAAGGATGAGACATGTAGAGAAATGGAAAATATTTGACCTAAAGTCGAAAATGCTATAGAAGCAATAGGTTATGAAACTACCTCCTATAAGCATCATGGAGTAAAAACTGGTTTGTGCAGGAGAAATTTTCAATGGTCTAAATAGCGAAAATGCAAACACAAGTGAGAAGAACTTTCCGATGGTATATCTTTATTCTAACAAGGTCCAGAACTTTCAGAGTCTCCATAATTGGTTCTGAAAATTCGTTTCAAGGGATTTGTAGCATTTTTAGATCCTGCGGGTATTTCGATCTGACCATTTTTTTTTTCTTTTTTCTTTTTTTTTTTTTGTTAGAACATTGAAAGATGATAATGCGAGAAAAAAACAAGAGCTAGGTGATAATGACATAATCACCGCCTCATACGAAATCGATGAAAATTCACTTTTGGGAATCTATTTCCATTATTTATGATTTTGACTTGATGATAACCCGCCTGACGTCGTTATCTTATCAATCGTACAATTGATGGATTTCAATTCAGCTGCATGAAATCCTTAATCTAGCCTGATTTTATTTGTTAAAATAATTTTCAGTACAATCCGTGTTACAGTGTTCTTGATATCAGTAATAATGTTTGTTGCATCTTTTTCCAAGGTTTTATTATGAATAGCTTGTGATGAATAATTAGTCGGTAAAGTGCATGTCGAAATAATTACATTCACAAATATTCAAAATGAAACGTACAATAGAATTAAGAAAAAATTCTAGAATTAAGAAAAAATTTCTTCCACGACTCATCCACAAAGTAAAATCAAACTAAGCCGTTCATAAATCCTTTCTGGGCTCTCCACGGCAATGTAAGTTTTATGGAAAAGAGCGTTTTTATTATTTTATGTTTGCAAGCGTTGCAAATTATGCAACTGATTCTCATCGTCTAGGTTGCATTACTTTGCTCCATCAAAATTTTTCACCTTTCCTGTTAACCCCGTTAACTTACAATGACCATGCACAAGTTCTGTCACTCGTTTAGCTGAAACTGCAATTTTGGCTTCCTAATGCCAACTGCTGGGAAAATTCCGAAAATCGTAATGCAAATTTTTTGTCGGATTACCAAAATTAAAGCTATGTTTAAACAAAATTTCCACAATATCCAACAAACGGGATGGCGAAATCTTGTAAAATTAAAGCAATGAAGAGGATATAAGCTAACAATGAACAGCGTAAAACAAAAACGTCTCAGTACTTACACAATGGACAGTGTCAAAGGCTAGCCATACCTCCATGATAACTCGGATGGAGCTTACAAAACTTCTCCCTAATCCTTACATACATAAGGAAAAATCCAGAATAGTTCGGTTTTTCACAACCGAGCAGACGATACATCCTCTTCGCTTATCCTCCGCGTCCAACGACATTTTCCCCATATCTGCCACCACTGGACAGCAAGCTACTATATTCTTTCTATTCGCTACATACATTTCCCGTAACATCCCCAACTCAACGACCTATCAACTAACCGATCAAATTATTGTCCAAGTCAACGACAAGGTGTTTGTTGGTTGATCATATTACTTGCTTTTTGTATATAATTCATCTATCATTGCTTACCAATTCATCGTGTAATATACATATATATTTTATACCCTTTTTCTTGTTGTTAACTATTAATATTGGCAAGAACAATATTACATCTCGAATAAATCTGTATCGCCGAGACCCAACACAAACACCAAACAAATCTGGTAACTGAACAAAACCAAAGAGACTCAAACATTAATATGCTAAACCTAATCTAGGTGCAGAGGTCACATTTTGGAAGCGCAGTACTGTTTCACCATGAAAATTTAAAATTCTGCTCGAATCAAGTAAAAAGACTAAGCGATGACTGGAACATTCCGCTGTGTTTGCTGCTTTATTTATGATGGTAATTTATTACTGGTCCGTACCACTAATAGCTCACTCAGCAGGTGACACTTATCAACAACTTTAGTCAAGCAAGTGATCTTAGTGCATGACCGTTTCTGAACAAATCTTTTAACCAAGAGTCACTGAGAATTGGCAAACCAATTGACAAGTTATTCGAATGGTATCAAATCGACAAGAAAGATCAACAGACTGTAGTCGGAATATCTTTAAAGGAAGCCCTCATGGACAAAAATTAAGTTAAACTGAAAATTTAAAGACGTAATGGACAAATTCGTACTGCTTCTACTAACTTTTTTCAAAACGGGTGACTCGGGAAAATCAATGTGATAATGCAATACAAAATCAGATTCGCATGAATGATATGGTAACTATTAGCGTCTGGTTGAAAAGTTAGTGCTATAAATAAGTTGTATGTTAGCAGTAGAGACAGCGGAACTAGAATCTTTCAGTACAATTGAGGTGCTTGGACAATGTTATCGAGTATTTTATTAAATATTTTTCCGTCCATTAAATGGCCAGAAAGAAATAGAGGGAAGACTTCGAAAACTGGAACTGGATTCAAAGAAAACCGAGCTTGAAGGATTGCAGCTGCACCATATAACAGTGACTTTCTCGAAGCCAAGAGATGCATTCCGTTCCATTGATTTGTCAAATATGGAAGTAAGTAGTAGAAAGCTCCACAGAAGTCTGATCAGTCTGATTATCGTTTCTCAATAACTATATGTTTATCAATACTGATCAATGAGGAGGAGAAGGACGGGACAGCATCAGGTGATCTCTTCAATACTACTGATCTCATTGACTAGTTGCAGAAACGTGACGTGATCAGCAGACAACGAAGAGCTTAATCATATCGAATCATAGATGACACAACAGTCATTTTCGAACAATGCTTGTGATACGAATATGGTGTTGAAGAGGTGGATAAGGAAGACTTGAACATCGTAGGCATTAAAGCAGAGATATACCAACTTAGCGTCGATCTCAAAGAAGTTGACAATTCCATATCTGGCATGTATTGATTAGAAATGTTTTCGCAACTGTCAGTGCTAAATTTCACAATAATAATTACCAGGTGGCTAAAGCTTAGTATTTTTAATGCATTGATGGAAATAACTCGCCAGGACCGCATTCACTTCTTTATTAACATAGCTGAAAACAATGGTTTGTGGAAGTAAGACATGGTGGATGATAGAGCACAGCAGAAACTCTGGAATACGGGCTTTTGCTTCCAAATGGAAAGCATTATTTTTGGATGGTGTAACCGATGACGAAAATCACGGTGTTTTTCAGAGCTAATCTTTGTCGCTAAGGCATCAAGGTTTTAGGTTTAAGATTTCGTTTTTCTTCCTCGAGTCTATAAAATGTATTTACTGTATGCTAATATGATATCTAGAATCGACTCCAGAGTTGATGAACAGTAACCGTCTTGACTGTGTAAAATGTAATTGTGATATTTATAATCAGACATTATTCTCTCAAATGCAAAAATGATCTATAATGTGATTATGAAAACAAAGGGAAATCAGGATTTCAGTTTCTCTTTCTCGCTCATATCTTCAAATCGCAAATGATCGGTTTGTAGCTACTTTGAATAGATATCCACCTTTTCCCATTTATCCGAAAATTACCAAAGTCCTTCCAGCCCAGTCAAATAATGTTCACTAATGAGATCGCACTAATGAGTTCACTAATGAGATTGTGATGAGATCGCATGCCAAGTAGTCTATGAAAGATATATAAGAACATGCGCTGCATGATCAACAATTTCTAACATTCCCATCATTTTATTGTGAACTAGCAGAACAGTAACTTTCTTCCTCACCGTCACTTTTCTGGATCCATTACTTGTCGTCGAGACGAGCAGTGTTGCGAGCGCAGTCATGAAATCCTTTGCAATGTTTGTTTGTCCGTCTTCAGCCTCATTCTTGTCGATTATCACTTTGAAAACAGGGGGAGTCAGAGACAATGATATATACTTACGTGACAGACAACTATTGTCCACTTTTGACTTTGTGTTAACTTTAATATGAGGAATTTGCACTAACATAATAAACTTTATTGGGAATTGGGAAATTCCTTCCTAAATCATCTTCAGCTGTGTCTACTAAATATTGTGACATTTTTCAATGCAGAGCAGGTCTTAAGGTATCGTTTTCGGTCAGAAGTATGATTTTGGGCAGGTTGAGAGGATCATTTTTCATACTACTTCAAAGTTTGTGAATTTGTTCAGCAACAGCTCTACTTTAAGTAAAATTTCAAAAAGACGAGTTTTTAGTGCAAAAAGACCCTTAATTGCAAAGTTTTTTGGATATTTTTAAGTCGAAGATGGTATGGGTTTCTTTTGGGCCAATTGAGTATGTGATTAAGTTCTGCCCTAGCATAGAAACTTAAGTAAATGCGCTTAAAATGCGGAATATAGTTGATGACAATTCATAATTTTAGCACTATTTGCTATCGATTTACTTCCCACTCAAGCAACTATTTTTTGTGCTTGTCATTGTCTCGGAAAATTTATGCGTGTAAGACTTTTGAATAAATTTATAAGATCGCGCTAATTTTTTGAACCATCAATCTGAATACGAAAGATTTCATCCGGTTCTCCAAAGAATTGCATTTGAACTTCATCGTGGAAGGAGAAACTTCATCGTGGAAGGAGACTGAACGTTTCCTGTTGGTCAGCCGAACAAGTTACTGTCACCTTCAATAATGTAGTCTAAAATAATCACAGCAATAAGATCGGGCCGGCATAGATTGTATTATTCACTACTACTCATATTGCATATCTATCTGCTAAACTGAATTCAGTTAAATTAGCGCGGCCAGGTATTGTTTGGAAAATTGATTTAATTTGAAATCACTATGAAACAGACTATCACTGTCACATACATCACAGTTCCTTTCATGTATCTATACAATACGTCCGTACGTTTACATCTTTGCACATCATTAAGGAAACATTTCTGTGTCGCCAATCAGTCACAATAACACAGTGCAGAAACAGTAAGGAAACAGCAGCAGATTGATGGCCGATGATTAGAGGAAAACCGTAGTTTTATTCATTATTTTCCCCATCGGTATCCACAAACCGTTTAATCCATCCGTCTGTTTTAATCCAGCAATTAGCACTAAAACCCGTTCATTCCACAGCATTCCTACTTTTTGCCAGCCAATGCGTCATCTCTCCTCTCTCGTCAGCTTCCTCCAACTTCGTATTTCAATTTGTGTATTCATATGGTCTTTCAATTTGGCACTGCAGTTAACAAATCCGCTTCCCAGCTTCATCTTTTTTATAATCCTTTTTTATCATTATTCATCGCGTCTAATTGCAAATTGGTTTGGTAAGCAAGGGTTTCAGTGACATTACCTTTTTACTACCGAAATAAAGTATCATTAAAGCTGTTACTTAGTTGTTCCACAAGACACAGAGGGCGGAATTATGGTACTTTGTCGTCAATGAAATTAGCATATGAAATTATAAGTTATTACTTTAATCTCCATGGTCACTCCTTGTCGCAAGAGAGAAGCTTGCGTGCCCTTATGAGGTTGCGAGCTATATTGGCAGTGGTAAATACCTCCGGTACTGAACTGAAGAGCCAGATAAAATGTTTTTACAGGCAGGATGGATTCGCTAGACTTCCGGCAACTGTCCTGGGAGAAAGACAACTCCAAACCGGAGCAGATGGAGATCGCTTAGCTTGTAAGGCCATCCATCTCAAATAAGAATACTCTAACTAAACTTATGCCCTGAAGACTTCGCTGTCACCATCCAAGCTCGCTAGGCCCTTACAGATAAACTTTAAGAGTAAGGGGCCAGTTCCGCGCATGCTACGCCACACCTAAAAAATCCTCTGTGCAGGTTCGAAGGATAAACCCGCTTTTGTAAAGCCCTGTAACAACAGACGAGAAATGGAACGGCAGCTGATAGGATGCACTGGAAGCTGCAGATCCAACTCTGCGTGCAGGCGGTTCAGGATATTAATTGCTTGAGATTGACTTCAGAGATAACGGTCGCTCGGCAACATCATGAACGACCAAGCCACTTTTCCCAAGGAAAGCACTGCTTGCTCCATAGGAGAAGGGCCTAGAAAAAGTGGCTTAAATAAAGCTCATCTCCATCTCCACCCGAATGGCTAACTGCAGCCAACGGATCAGCAGATGTTGTTGAACAAAGACAAAAAGACAAAGGCGTACACCTGTCCTCAAAGCTGTACACAAATTGACACTCGCGTACTGGAAAACATCAGAACCATGCTTGATAATGCGAACAGTAGACATCCTGAATGTCATTCTGCTCTAACTGCTT